TGTTGTTTGCAGCTCTTGCAGCTGGAGACTTTGAAAGACTGATGAGCCTCCGATTTAGGAACAGTAGTGATATGCAGAGCTGGTATGGTAGGTCACCAGGTGTGCACCAGAGTAAGACAGGAAGCAGGGATGGGAGACAGTAGCAATGTCATAGAAATAGCTGGGGTCATCAACGGGTGGACATCGAGGTACCAAATCATAAGCAAGACAAAGTCAGGAGCAGAGCCAAAGTCAGGAACAAGTATCAAGCAGGAGAGTAATCAGAGTCAGGTCAGGAACAAGCTGGGTCAGCAACAAGGAAATAACACAGGAACGAGCAGGAAACGGGGAACAGCTGAAGACCAGTCAGCACTCAGCACAAGCAGAGGCACCTTTTAAATAGTTCATCTGGTGCCAATCTTCGCCAATTTTGTATTTTTGTGCGCATGCGTACGTCTATTCGCCAGCCGTCTCACGGGAATTCCCTTACAATGTCCCAACTAAAAATAAGGGTTTTCCTTGATCAACTAATTTCAAACAACAAAAAACTGATTGCAGATGTGGAAGTAAGGATATCCTGGGAAACAGCAATCACAGAGTAATTATGTTCATCATAAATCATAGGGAAAGGAGACACAAGAGTGGGAACATTGAATTGCAAGAGAGCTGTGCTCCATACTTTAAGACACTAAAAGGGAATATATTGTAGGAACAATAAACAAATAGGAAAAGTGGGAGTGCTTTAAGAACATATTAACTAAGGGCATTAGCCAGTGTATTCCAATGGGTAACAAATATAAAAGAGCCAAAGTTAAATCTGGGTGGACAAATCTGAGTGTAAAAAGGCATATTAAAGAGAAACAACTGTCCTAATACAAGGATGAGGGGTCACTGTTAGCATTCCAAAACTACAATGTGATAAGAAATTTAAAAGTATGATAATAGCAGCAAAAATAGACCATGAGAGACACAAACATTATTAATAGTAAAAAGGCAAAGTTAGAACATATAAGCCCATAAAGCATAGTCAGGGGATGTTGGTTATGAGTGACAAGAAGAAGACAACTGTGTTAAAATAAATTCTTCTCCTCAGTGTTTACTAAGGAAAGGGAGGTGTATAATCGACATGACTGTATTGTTAGTAACAAAACACATAATGTACCCTTGTGGCTAACAGAAATAGCCACAAAAGTATTAAAAAAAGACTTGAAAAAACTAATGTGAATAAATCACCACTACTAGATGGTTTATACCCAAGAGTTCTTAATGAACTTATTCTAGATTAGAACAATTATTGCTAGACCATTTCTACTAATCTTTAAGGACATATTACTGACCAGCTTAATGGCACCAGCTGATTGGCAAATAGCTAACATAGTACCAATATTCAAAAAATGGCTGAGATACATACCTCGAAAATATAAGACAGTCAGCCTAACATCAATCGTATGTAGTATGTAAAATAATATAAGAAATGAAATTGTCTAGCGAGTGCTTCCAAAGAGAAACATATGTAGCTGCTGGAACACCAAAAGGTAACCAAAAAAACCTTCTAGAGATAAATGTAAAGTGTATATAGGTGCAGCGCTGAGATATAAAAGCAACTAAAATGTACCATAAAAACCAAGCATGATAAATGCTGTATAATGCGTCTTTTCCTCCTGTGCTACTTCCCCCTCCCTCCTAGATTGTAAGCTCAAAAGAGTAAGGCCCTCTAACCCCTCGTGTACTGTTGTTGTTGCTGTTCTGTTTCTTGTATTGCCCCCCCCCCCTCTATTGTACAGCGCTGAGTAAACCCTTTGGCGCTATATAAACTTGATGTAATAATAATAAATAATGATGATGCGTCATAATTATAATATACAAAGTGCAGTATATAATATCACCATATGGTGACTATAGTGAAAAAGAAAGTCCAATAAAAGAATATAAATGTGGGGATCCTCTGGGATCACAATTCTTGTGCATAGATAATTAATCCAGAAGTGATGAATGATGTGACTCAATTAATAGACTGCGCACTCACCAGAAGTGCGTATATACCACGCATATAAGACGACTCCTGTATCATCAGGTACTCGTTAGGTCATCTATATTCGGGTCTGGTCACATTCCATATCACCATTCTACCATAACCATATTAGAATTCCAGGATCCTTTAGTATGTAGTATCATCTGGGGTCACTCAGGGCAGGCACTGCGGAGGGTGGCACCCGCAAAGAGAGCCCAATAAGGGACACCACATAGCATAATACTGCATAGGATCACTTTATTCCAAGGTTTAGTAATGATGCACAAAATAAAATAAAATACTGACCAAATATTCAGGATGGCCACCAGCGGTGGCTAGATGTCCAGATGCTGTAGCCCACTGACGCGTTTTGTGCTAAGCACGTAGTCATAGGGTGCAGGACTTACAGCTGGACACCTTGACAGGTCTATTTATATTTAAAAATGGTGCTCGCGCTTATTGCGCCCGCCATTTTGCCGGATACCAGCGCATGTGCAATGCACCAGCGCCATTTTATCATTTTACCGTTGATCACAGAGACATCTATATTAGTCTATGTCCTGGAGATGTAAAATAATAAGCAACTATATACAAGTATTTGTTGATTAAAATTATATCATTAGTAGTAACCAGCATGGGTTTATGAAGGATTGTTCATGCCAAACTCATCTATTTATATTCTAAGGGGAAGTGAGCTGCAATATTAATAGAAAAAGGTCTCTGAATGTGGTGTATCTGGATTCCACCAAATAATTTGATACAGTATTCCATAAATGCTTAATTTAAATGTCACAGTTTGTTGTTCTCCCCCCTCCGCTGGCCAGCTCAGGAATGCCCCCCTGCTGTCTCTCGTCCTGCCGTGGCTCTTTGAAGCCTAGTTTTCCCTATATAAAAATTTCTCACATGGACATTCAAGAATATATATCACTCTATTGCTGGAGCAGTTTATAAAGTTTTTAATTTTAAAAGTTTTTGATTTATCTGCGTTGGAGAAACTTTGATTTTTTTTTGTACGAACAAAATTTGTAGGGACAAATTTGACAATGGCCACATGGGAACATATCTGTTGTTTTACTCATTTTAGTCAGCCAGTTTTCTTTAGGAAGTTTTCTAAATTCCGAATGTACTAGGAGATCATTTAGATTGGACTTAGTCTTTGCTACCATTTGAAGCTCATTGCCCACTATCTCTGCTATGCTTGAATTAGCAGTTAATATATGCCAATGAGATTGCAATACTTTTCTTACTTCCTTCCATTGTTGGCCAAATTTTATTATAAACCTAATAGGTTCATTTTGCTTCTTTGTTTTATCTTCATTTTTATTTCCAAGTAAATCACTCCGAGCTTTACTTAAAACTTTAGATTTGGCCTTTCTAAGAGTTCTATGTGAGTAGCCCCTTTCTCTGAATCTCTGATATATTTGTGCTGCCTCTACTTGAAATTGAGTGTCATTTGTGCAGTTCCTTTGTATTCGAAGAAATTGACCTATCGGTATACATTGTTTCAGGGATTCAGGGTGGTGGCTTCTCGCATGTAGCAATGTATTAGCAGCTGTTTCTTTCATATATGTTTTTGTGATTAAGCTATTTTCTAAAATAGAAATGGATAGATCTAACAATGAAATTTCCCTATAGTCATAGGTATACGTTAGTTTAATATTCCTATCATTTTGGTTCAAAAAGGTAAAAAATTCATGAAGTTGGTCTATGGTACTCTCCCACAGCATGAAAATATCATCAATATATCTGAACCATTGTGCAACATGGCCCAGATACATTGGCGAGGTATAGACCTCTTCTAGTTCCCATGCCCATGGAAGTACCGCAAATTTGTTGAAAGAAAGCTCCCAAAAAATTGAAAACAATTATGTGAGAGCATAAATTCCAAAAGATCAAGGATTAATTCATTTTGGGCTCCTATTTCGGGATAATGTAGTTTCATAAAATAGGCTACCCCTCTAAGGCCCCAGTTATACGGGATAGATGTATATAAGGATTCCACATCAATTCCTACCAGAAGGGCACCTTCTGGAACATTGATAGTTTCCAACTTTGATAAAATATCTCTTGTATCTTTAACATATGACTGCAGAGTGATAATTAAATCTTTGATTTGAATCTATATATTTCCTAATCATTTCTAAAGGGACCATTGACAGCTGATACAATGGGGCGACCAGGTGGTTTAAGTGGATTCTTGTGGATTTTAGGGATCACATAAAAAGTAGGGATATTGTATGTATCAATTTTATTATTTTTTTTTCCATAAGGTTTTCCCTATTAATAAACTCAGAGCATACAATAAGTACAGGTAATACAATGTATCAGTCAGAAATACAATAGAAGGTAATGCACATACAGCGAACAAAAAGATACATAGCAATACATAGACAAAGAATCAGACGTAAGTCATCCCAGGGGAAAGAAAACAGGGGAAAAATGAGAACATGCGAGCGCAGGAACATTAAAGGCATATCTGGTCTCAAGCCCTTATTCACCATATTGGAATCACAGCACTGGCAGGGTCAATGATATATAACCTCAGTTACTGAGCAGCAGCAAAGAGCAGGGCCAGTGAGTGAAAGGTATGCGTTGGATATGTATACAGTAGGTGTGGAGGGGAGGGTGCAAGGGCTTGTAGGATATGGCCTTGTACTTTTGATGAAACTGAGGTAACCCACTACAGGTTGCCAGCATGTGGGTAAAGGGTTCGGGAAAGGAGATATGTAAAAGTAAAACATATGCGCAGCTGGATTGCAGGTAGGGAGTAGGGCTCCTATTAGTAGAGAAGTGTACCAAAATGGAAAGAGGAGAATGAAAGCTAAACTCTGAGTAATAAAGCAGGGAAATGGGGATTAAGAATTCAAGAATAAGCATGAAAAAGAAGGGAAAAGAGGAGAAGAAGGAAAAAAAAAAAAAGGGGGGGGGAGATGGGGGTTGGGTCGGATGGGGAGGAGGTATGGAGGAGTAGGAGGGTAGGTAAGTCACCTTTACTCTAGACTCCCAGGACATGAGAGATACGCGCAACCCTGGTAGAGAAGCGAGCTGGGGACAATTGCAGGAGTATAAAGGTGTCAGGGAATGGGAAGATCGCCGCGGCGATCGAATCTGCACATGCGTAGAATCCTGACAAAACGTACAGGCAGGCACTAGGACCCAGACGCGCCTGTCACCAATGACGGTGCCGGGCAGGCACTAGGACCCAGGAGCGCCTGTTAGGAGTCGGGCGGGCTATTTAAACCCGGCTCTTGCAATGCTCAAGTGCCGTATGGTCTTACCTTTTTTCTTGAAGTTCCTGATTGTAGATTGTTTTGTTGCCGACCCTGCCTGACCCTGATTTGCTGTCTGTCTCCTGCTCTGATCCCTGACTTGTCTGACCATTTTCCTGTTTAAACTGCAGAATGAAATGAAAACGAGAAGTGCACCAACCTTGCGCATTACCTCAGTAACCAAAATGTATTGATTGTAAAAAATATACTCACAAACAGCGAATAAAATCAGGCATGTAAGTCCTCACAGGGACTTGAAGATAACATGAGTCCCATCAGGGGAGTGGGTGTTCAGTGCTGCTGACGCGTTTCGAAGGGGGTCCCTTCTTCCTCAGAGCTCTGTACGTTCTGACCTCCTGTTAATGAACCCGGCTTGTGACCTGTTTATCCCTCTGCCTGCTGATTTTGTACTACGCCGCCACCACTGTTACCGACCCGGCCTGCCCGACGCTGCTTCTGTTACCTCCTCACATCAGACTCTCACCTGCTATACACCTCCAACGGTGCTTCTACCACAGCTGGGTGAACCCAGGGGCCGCGACCTGGTCTCGGCCTGCTCCAAGTCCATCCCCACCATCAGGGTCCCTGGTAAACAAGCAGGTCGGAGCTTAGATTCCACGCCTTGGGGGAATTCAGTCTGTGGAGAGCTAGAGGCTACCGCGGTTGGATCCCTGACACAAGGTGCCAAGCGTAGCTTGCTCCAAACAGTACAGGACATCGAGACAAAGGACCTCAATCACAACTTTGAAAAAACAGAGAGCCAATATATCGCCAGAAACACTACGGGGTATCAGAGAGATTCAGAATCAATCAGCAAGGCCCATGAAAGAACGATATTCAAGGGTCGTTTGGAAGTGAATCCAACAGGACCACGTATGAGAAAATTTAGTAGGGTTATCCAGAGAAGAAGCAATCAGCTCTTCCATTTCAGCAATTCTGTTCAAGCATATGAACCAATCTCACACTGTGTGGGGGTGAACAGACCCCCAGAGAACCGGTAAGCAGGGTTTGGCCGCGTTAAGCATATGCATAGCCAGAGATTTGAAATATAGATGTTTGAGAAGCGGAGTGTGGTGGAGGAGGAGTTGGGCCGGAGAGAACTCAATATAAAGAGTAGACACCAAAGAAGTAATCCGATGTACCTCCTGGCAAAAAGGCTGAACCATAAGGCAGTCCCACCAGATATGAAGAAGAGATCCAACAGGAGCCCCACATCTCCAACAAATACTGGGTCTGGATGGATTAAAATGATGGATTCTAGAAGGTGTATTGTACCAAAGTGTCGCCAACTTGTATCCATTTTCTTGTGCTGAAACATTCAAGGAGCATTTATGAGAAAATATTATAAATAAATTTATAGTGCCGCGCTCCTATTTACTTATATATATAACTTAATCCTTGGGGTACATGAATTGATATCTGAAACAATACATAAATCACTGTGACTAGTGAATAAAAATAATCAATAATAAATAATAAATAATGATAGATCAATTGTGAATCACTATGACTGGTAAATCAATTAAAAATAGATAAATTTAAATATGAATAGATCAACAACCTTCATTAATGTGACTGATATCAATCAATCAAAAAATCCTTAATTAAATGTGACTGTAAAAGGATGAAACTAAGATAAATAAAATCCTAAATCTGTGCCACTCTGATCTGATGTGATCACTCCATCTATATTGTGCAAAAGCATACATAAATGTGCAAGTGCAAACAATAAAATTCATAAAATAAAGTAAAAAGTCTTTCAAATAAGTGCAATGTGCAGGTGAATTCCTTATTCCCTCTCGCCGGGTGCTTACTGGTCTCCTTATGCGCTCACCTTAGTATTTGCCTAAATAAATTCAGGCAAATAAGCTTTTAATCCTTCCAGGATTGATGGGATGATACTCTTATGTAAGATGTTCCAGAAGATGGGGGTGGATCTATAGGGATCCTCCTGTACTCTCCTTTTTCTCCTTGTGCAGCTGCTCATAAATGGATATTTTGACCAGCTCTCTAGGAATCTCCTAATTCCCCTCCTGGGGTCACCACCTTCTCAAGTCCTCCTTTCACCAGCATGGGGAATGTGGGTCAATTAAAAGAGAGAAGAAAAAAGACCATGGTGCCTTATCCTTTTGTGTAAAGGAAATTTATTACTGCCAGTTGCGGTATTACACAGCGGTATATGGCTCTTATGTGATCCAGGACAGCATAGATGATATCAGTCAGTGAGTGAGTAATACTCTGCCTCTGCCTCTGTCTTGCTGCCTGCCTCCGTCTGCACTGGAATCACCGAGCCTCTCCGATGCAACGTCGTGACGTCAGAGCCCCTCCCCTACGCGTTGCGTCACAGGGTCACGTGACTTCATCGGGGGGAAATGATTGGATGCCACGACTTGCCCATTCACCTATATATATCCCTCGGCCGCCATTTTAACGAAGCCCACATGGGCGTGGCCATTTTCCCAGTGATTTTCTTTAGCTATATTGAAACCCAGTGCTTGTTCATGTGGATCCACACGAGTGCAAGAATGTATCTGTCTGTCAGACGTTGCTAATCGGGTCAGCTGTGTTCCATCTCTCATATTGCAGTTTATACAAAATGGCAAATGCCTATACCTTATATATTGCTGAGTGTATACCTTGGGCAGGCTACCTAAAAACCTTAGACAATCTTTATTATTATGAAATTAAAAATATATATTGAATCATACAGATAAAATTAAAAATGAATTAGATTTTTACTGATGCATATAAAAATAATAGCATCAATTATGGACACCCTACATATCGTTTTTATCTGGCCTGATATTATCAATGTTATATTGTGATTAGTATCTCACATCATCTTATACAAATCCTTTTGTACCCTTATTGTTAAAGGGATGCTTAATTAGATTAAATTTATTAAATTATTTAAAATATGTAAGCTCTGTACATATAAATGTATTAATATGCTCACATTTTTTTAAAACAGCTAAAATATGTCTAAAAAAAATTTATTAAAAATTATTAAGAATATATCAAAAATAGAGCCAACCCTAGGCTATGAGTAATTGATGGACCTCAAAGTATGATTACATGCTATCTCCGTCTGCATACTTATTTATTACTGATAAAACATGCGAGGTCAAACTCCTTGTTTAACCCATTGGGAGCTAGACAACCCATTTCATAGATCCACTTCGATTCCTTCTTGCTGATTTCCCTTACCAGGTTGTCACCCCTCCAGTGTTGTACATGTTTTTCTATACCCCAGAACTCTAATTTCCTTGCATCTTTATTATGGTATTTCTTAAAGTGCTGTGATAAGTGGTGATATTTATATCCCCTGTTTATATTGTATACATGTTCTTTTTATTCGTTCTCTAGCATCCTTTTAGTGCGACCAATGTATATCAGATTGCATGGGCATTTTAGAGCATAGATAACCCCTCTTGTGTCACATGATATAAATTGCTGGATACTATATTCTTTTCCACTCATGGGGTTCTGAAATGTGAATCTTCTCCTGGGTTATTTACCAATCTGATGCAACTATAGCATCTACCACAAGTATAGAACCCCTTTCCCTGAAAGAAACTTATTTGATGATTTTTAGTAGGTGGTGCTATTATACTTTTGACAACATTATCTCTAATGTTGGGAGCTTTTTTGTATATAAACCTTGGTATTTCTGGGATATTATTTTTCAAGTGCTTATCTAATGTTAGAATCTTCCAGTGTTTCTTTATTATGTTTTGTACTGATTTGTACTGTGTGTTATATTGTAACACTACTGATAGTTCCTCCTTTTCAGTGTTCTCTTTTTGTTTATCTGCCATCAGTTTATTACGATCCATAAAGCCTACTTTCTCCCTTTCCTTTTGTATTATTTCTTTTTTTATACCATTTGTTTATAAATCTTTCTGATATTATTCCACTTTGTTCTACATAGTCTTCATTTTTGTACAGTTCCTTTTCAGCCTAATAAATTGGCCTCTAGGGATATTTGTTAACCACGCTTTGTGATGGCAGCTGTCTATGGGGATGTATGCATTTCTATCAACTGATTTAAAATGTTTTTTTGTGTATAATTGTATTCCCTCTTTAAAAATTTGAATATCTAGAAATTTATAGAAGTTTCATGTATATCATAGCTCAATTTTATATTTGCTTCATTCCTATTTCGGTCATCATAGAATTTAGTGAGTTCTTCTTTTTCAACATTCCATACAACCAGTAGGTCATCAATGTACCTCTTGTATGTTTACTATTTCTGTTTTCGTATTCTGAAACACTGATTCATCTTCCCATTTCGCCATATAAAGATTAGCAATGCTAGGGGCGAATTTAGCGCCCATAGCTACTCCTCTTCTTTGGGAATAGTATGTGTTACCATACCAGAAATAGTTGTGAGTGAGACAAAATTTTAAACATTTTATAATAAATTTTTTATGTCTATTGGGGATATTTCCATATTTGTTGAGCGCCCATTTAGCTGCTTCTATGGCCCCCTGATGATCTATGTTGGTGTACAATGCTGCTACATCTGCTGTACTCAAAAGCGTTTTTGTCTATTTGTATGTCCTTCATTTCCTGTATTACATGTTTTGTATCCCTTAAGTATGCTCTAGTTTTAGTTACTAATGGCTGCAGATAATTGTCTACATATTCACCCAGTCTCGCTGTGAGTGAATCTATCCCATTTATAAATGGGTCTGCCTGAATTTTAGGAACTGAATACATGATGGGTAGTCTACATACTGATGGTACTAGATATTCATGTTCTTTCTCATTTATCACTCCCTTCTTTTTCCCATATGAAACTAGCTTTATTAGCTTTTTCTTATATTCCTTGGTGGGGTTATTTATTAGCACTTCATATGTATCTTTATCATTAAGCATTTCTGTCATAATTGATTCATAGTAGGTCCTTGATTGTATCATTATGCCCCCTCCCTTATCCGCTGGACGTACTACAATATCATTCCTCTTTTTCAGTGTATCTAGGCCTCTCTTGAGATTGGTCGCCATTTTTGGTTTTTTGATCCGGAGGGATTCCAAATCTTGCAATACCATATATTTAAACGTGTCTATATACTTGTTATCTCCAATCTGGGGATTAAAAACTGATTTGTTCTTGAGTTGACTACATGTAGTTTGTGGGCTTCGTTAAAATGGCGGCCAAGGGATATATATAGGTGAATGGGCAAGTCGTGGCATCCAATCATTTCCCCCGATGAAGTCACGTGACCCTGTGACGCAACGCGTAGGGGAGGGGCTCTGACGTCACGACGTTGCATCGGAGAGGCTCGGTGATTCCAGTGCAGACGGAGGCAGGCAGCAAGACAGAGGCAGAGGCAGAGTATTACTCACTCACTGACTGATATCATCTATGCTGTCCTGGATCACATAAGAGCCATATACCGCTGTGTAATACCGCAACTGGCAGTAATAAATTTCCTTTACACAAAAGGATAAGGCACCATGGTCTTTTTTCTTCTCTCTTTCAATTGACCCACATTCCCCATGCTGGTGAAAGGAGGACTTGAGAAGGTGGTGACCCCAGGAGGGAATTAGGAGATTCCTAGAGAGCTGGTCAAAATATCCATTTATGAGCAGCTGCACAAGGAGAAAAAGGAGAGTACAGGAGGAGCCTATAGATCCACACCCATCTTCTGGAACATCTTATGCGCTCACCTTAGTATTTGCTTAAATAAATTCAGGCAAATAAGCTTTTAATCCTTCCAGGATTGATGGGATGATACTCTTATGTAAGGAGACCACTAAGCACCCGGCGAGAGGGAATAAGGAATTCACCTGCACATTGCACTTATTTGAAAGACTTTTTACTTTATTTTATGAATTTTATTGTTTGCACTTGCACATTTATGTATGCTTTTGCACAATATAGATGGAGTGATCACATCAGATCAGAGTGGCACAGATTTAGGATTTTATTTATCTTAGTTTCATCCTTTTACAGTCACATTTAATTAAGGATTTTTTGATTGATTGATATCAG